CGTGCTGGGTCGATCCCCTACTTTATCGACTTGCTGGGTCGATCCCCACTTGATCGACTAGCTTGATCGATCACCCCCTCCATCGACTTGCTGGGTCGATCACCCATTTCATCGTCTTGCCGGATCTGCCATCGATCTCCCACTTGATCGTCTTGCAGAGTCGATCCCCCACTTGATCGACTTGCTGAATCGATTCCGCACTTGATCGACTTGCTGAGTCGTTTCCGCATTTGATCGACTTGCCGGGTCAGTCCTTCACTTGATCGAATTGATGGGTCAATCTCTCACTTGATCGATTGCTGGCTTGATCTTCCACTTATGGAATATGCTTGGCTTAACAAGTATCATAGTTTGCTTACTAGAATCACGGTAGGCTTAACAAGATCATTGTTTGTTCAAGAAGGATATTGGTTGGCTCAACAAGAATTTGGTTTGCTCAACAAGGATAATTGTTTTTACATGAATCATAGTTGGCTCAACTAGGGTCATAGTTAGCTTAACAAGGATCATGGGTGGCTTAACAAGGATATTTGTTGGATCAACAAGGATATTGGTTGGCTCAACGAGGATCATGATTGGGTTAACAAGAATCTTGGTTGGCAAGAAGACTCCCATTTCCTGCAATTTAACATGTACTGCATTCACGAGACTAATCACCATACATTAAAGCTCTCTAATAAATGAACCTTTTAGATTAGTGTGAGTGGAAATGCCTTTAAGAAACATTATTCTATTTTAAATCGTAACTCTAAAGACAAATAGATGTTCAAAGAAATGTAAGACACCAAAACCGAACTAAATAAAACAGTAGCAAAATTATTATACATTTACTACTTATTGACATTCTGGACGTTATAAATGTTAACTCAAATTGTTGAATAATTCTTGCGCCAATATAAATATGTTTGACGCCTCATCTTTCGCAAGGCGGCAATTTGACAATAATCTCTCTTAAATAGCGAGGAAAATTTAATTACATTGCACAAATAAATATATTTCCAAAACTTAAATGAACCATTATTTAAATATTACTGTCAGCTGTCGTACATACGAGGTAGAACTAAATAATTCGCCGAAGTATATAGTGTAAATATTCAGCATATTGACGTGTTTTGCAATTTGCCGCCTACGCGAGCAGCCGAGGAAATACTATATCTGCTTTGACAACATTGTATGAAGGTCAATATCCCTTCATCTAATATAGAATGTTTCTTGTTCTGAGAAGACATGAACTCAATGATTCAGTGACATGTTGTTTGCTTCTTGTTCGTAACACAAGTGTATAGCGTTTTTATTTTATTTTGGTTTGTGACTTTCGGTGGAACGGTATGGCGTTTTTTCGTAGTAAAGGCCAAACAATACACAGCTCGGGAAAATATACGTCTCGTTATTAAGAAATGTGACAAAGAAAATAAATCGGGCGTTCTTCAACACACGCTGCATAACAACAATTTTCGGGTAGTAAACTATACTGAAGTATCTGT